AACAAGATGGACAGACACAGTGGCTGCAATGATGGACTCAGGTATAGTAGGGATTGCGAGACTGGCACAAGGCCAGGTAGTGTTTCATTCTGTTGTACGTGGTCACCATGAGTTGGAGATGACTTGATGGCATGTAATAACAACAACAACAGGTGATGCTGGGATAAGAAAAATTCCTGTATGGTCTTTTCTGTCCTGTAGGGTCTCTGTGAGTCCAAATTGGCTCAACAGCAGTGGGTTAGTGGGAAAGATCAGAATTTAGCCTTAGTGGTGCGGTGGTTTAGGACCTGGCTGCCGCAGTGCAATGAATTGCTATTATATGGTCCTTCTAGCCATGGTCTTGTAACTACCACAAAATGATTAGGTGGTGAAAAAAGGATGTGGGGGTGGCATCCTTGTCTCGCCTCTAACTTCATGAGAGAGACAGAATCACCATCAGCAGTCCAAGGCTGGTTACTGTGAGGCGGAGTTCAGGCATGCCACTACCCTCCAACCTTTTTACCAATTCCAACACCAGCCATCCCTCCCATGGCACCCACTACCTCTCTGCTGAGTTCAATAATTCGTCACAATGGCCACACAAAACTCACAGACAATACTCATGATTATAGGTTTTATTGAGGAAGTAACAGGCTTGCTGGTCATTAACTTAACCTTGCTCTTAATGGACTAAAAATGTGAATCTATGCAGTGTTGTCAATTCCAGTATATAAAGACTCCAGCAGAGACGTGAGGCTGGCAAGGGGACAAGAGGAGCTGTTAGTTTTCTTTTCATAAGTCTCTAAAGAGTGATGTTGTCAACAGTATGTGATCAAGGTGGTGGACGGAAGGCAGCTGAGGGAGAGGATTAGGCTTGTTTAGGGTGTTCAATATCCAGATGAAACACACTTGTTCAGGTTGTGAGACACGTAACAGAGGTAGTCACAGTGAGAACTCTCCTTAAAAAAAAAAAGACCCCACAAAGTAAGGTTGCTCTCCCATAACCCAAGTGGAGCCCCCAGCTTCCCTTACCGCCCAGGTTCTGCCCTTCTGATGACAGAGCCCCCCTGGGCTTCGGCACTGGCACAAAGGACTAATACAGGGCTCAGAAGCAAACCTAGGAATGGAACTGGTTCTGGGGACCCTGCACACTCAGGTGAAGAGACAACGGGAGCTCCTGTGGGGCTGCTGTCTTTGACCTTGCCCTGGGGCAGGGAGGAGAAGAGGCTGGGACTGGGCCACTGATGGATGACATAAGCCCTCAGTGAGGATGGCAGGGCTGGAAGCCAGGCCTTGTGACCTGACACATGTTTTTATGGGCAGGATTAGCAACGCTCCCTGGGTACAAATAGCCCTGGGCTCAATGGGTTCCTGAGGTCCAGACCCACAGTGCTCGTTCTTTGGTGAAGTTGAAAGTGCAAAGCAGAGGGAACCAGCATGAGGCTGTCCATCTTTCTCCTACTGGTCACTCTGGCCCTTTGCTGCTACCATGGTGAGTCTCCTTTCCACTCTGTCCTGGCACCAGTCTCCTGGTGAGTAAGTACCCTTCTCTGAGATACAGTGGGTGGGGAACAGATGTAAATAGAAATCTTTTCCTTCAGCCAGCCCCCAGAAGCCCAGTTCTCATTTTATGAAGATCTCAACACCTAGGATCTTTTTCCAGGAAAATCTTCAGAGGCAAATTTTAGGAAATTCTTCCACATGCAACTTCATTCCTTGGCTGCAGTCCGGGTCTAGGAAGCAGCGGATGGAATGAAATTGCCTGGGTCTGAGTCATGGATCTCCCACGTCCCAGCAGGCTGACCTGGGGCAAAGTACATAACCTTCCCGCGCTTCTCTCTGTCACCAGTTTTGACTCTATCACCAAGCATGGCTCTCAGGGTGGAATGAAATGAATTACATAAAGGGTCTCTGTAGGTATCAAGCAGGTATCCAATAGTTATCAGACCTTCTGCCCTGGGGACTTTCGGTTGCCAGGTGAATCCATAGCTTCTTAACTCTTAAATTCAAAGATTCATAAAATGTTACAGCTGGAGGGGTCTTTGAAAAGCTTCTCGTTCAAGAAGAGCCAGTGTTCTCTGAAAAATAAAGGTTCAAATAACAAATCCTCAAAGCAGCACTCAATATAGTAACACGCTTCCAGGGAGTACCGCTGGTGATATTAGTGAAACTAAGTTTATCTTTCAAAATTAATTCTAGCTATTCATTCAACAAATATGTTGCCTGTTTTCCATATGGGCACTGATTCAGGTTTCTCTGAGTCTGTCTCTTTCAATCTTACTTTCTGAAGCTCCTCCCCCCTCCCTTGGTTGCCTCGGATCTTACCCTGTCCAAATTCTCCACCTACTTTGACTGTTCAGGGGTCCGATGGGAACTTGGAATGGCACTTGCAGGGCAGCAGGGTGACTGCATCAGACCTGGGGGTGGTAGGCATCCAGATATGGACAAGTGGAGATTCCGGGTCTCACCACATTTCCCAGTGAGGTCAAGAATGAGCCCCTTGTTCCCACCTCTCCCTGCCTAAGGAAGTCTATACAGTTTTTGCAAAATTAAAGATCAATTAAATTTTTGAGTGAATTTCAGATGCACCAAACGATTAGTCATTTTTTAGTTGAATGTTTTCATTCAAAAGGAGCTCTGGTGGTGCAGTGATTGAAGCACTTGGCTGGTGGTTCGAACCAGCTGCTCTGTGGAGAAAGATGTGGTGGTCAGCTTCCGTAAAGATTTACAGCCTTGGAGACCCTATTGGGTTGTTCTACTCTGTCCTACAGGGTCGCTATGACTCTGAATTGACTTGATGACAGTGGAGCGAGTCTTCACTCAATGGCACAATCCTAATTCCTACCATATAGTCTCAAAAAACATTTTAATCATTTTAGTTTGCTTTTCTCTAGATTTACGTTTCCTTTTCTGAGCTCTGGTAAGACTGTTAGGAAGACCTCGTGGTGCAGTGGTCAAAATGCCAAAAGGTTGGTGGTTCGAACCCACCAGCTGCTCTGTGGGAGAAAGATGTGGCAGTGTTCTCCTGTAAAGAATGACAGCCTTGGGAACACTATGAGGCAGTTTTACTCTGTCCTATGAGTTGGAATTGACTCAACAGCAGTGGGTTTAGTTTTGATAAGATTTTATTTAAATTTTTTAAAATTTTTATTTAAAAAAATTTAAATTTTTATTAAAAAAAATACTTGGTAAAATATACAACAAAAGTGTGCACCAACCCACCAGTTTCCACATGGACAGTTCAATGTACTGAGAACATTCTTCAAGTAGGACAGCCTTCTCCTCATCCCTTCCTGAAGGGTTCCTTCTAACATCAGCATCCACCACTGCTTCCTAAGCAAAAGCGCCCCCTTCCAGTAAGATTTTCTCATTTCCATTCACTTGAAAATTTGATCGGTGGCGTAGTGCCTAAGGCATTTGACTGCTCACCAGAAGGCTTGCAGTTCAAACCCACCAGCCACTCCACAGAAGGAAGATTGGGCAATCTACTTCCATAAAGATTTACCACCTCGGAAACCCTAAGGGGGTCACTATGAGTCAGAATCTATTCAATGGCGGTGAGTTTGGTTTGGTTTGAATATCCAAGACAAGGAGCTCAGGTGGTGCAGTGATTAAGGCATTTGGCTGCCAACCAGAAGGTCAGCAGTTCAAACCCATCAGCTGCTCTGCTGGAGGAAGATGAGGCAATCTGCTTCCATAAAGATTTACAGCCTTGGAAACCCTATGGGTCGCCATGAGTCGGAATCGACTGAATGTTAGTGGGCTTGGAATATCCAAGACAGACATGGTGGTCTTTCATCTCCAGGTACCACTTACTTCCTCCAAGTCTAACCAACCCATTGTCATCAAGTTGATTCTGACTCGTGGTGGCGCCATGTGTGTGACAGTAGGACTATGCTGCACTGGGTTTTCAAAGGCTGACGTTTTGGAAGTCGTACTCCAGGTCCTTCTTTTGAGGTGCCTCTGGATGGATTTGAGCCCCCAATCTTTCAGTTAGCACTCAGGGAACCTAGGGAAAAGCAAATTGCAGCAAACCTGACCAGTCTTAGAAAGTAGTGGCATGTGCTTAAAAGAAGAAAAACAAACAATAAACAAAAAACCTGAACTAGGCATCAGGAAACATGGCTTCCTGTCCCACCTCTGCAGCTTATGATGTGCTCTTGAGCAGAACAGAACCTGTAGGATCTTACTTTTTCATCTGCACAATTTCACTACTGGATCCTAAAATCTCCTGTCTACTTCTAGCTTTTTAGAGAACTATGGGGGGAAAAGTTGCTTTCTTAACATAAACTGAGTTTCTTTTTATTCTACTCCAGCTAATGCCCTCGTTTGTCCATCTATTATTTCTGAAGTAACGAATTTCTTATTTGGTACTTCGACTACCGAGAGATTACAACTTCAATCATTTGGCATACCTGAGGAAATTATTCTGTCTAAGTTGGAATTGAAGAAATGCACGGATCAGATCCCTTTGGAGAAGAGAGAACTAATTATGTCAACACTGGTAATTTCTTTCTTTTGTTAGGCATAGAGGTTTCTGATCAACTTCTCAGGTAGCCATGTGGACAGCCTCCTGCTCTGTGGTGCGGACAGGAAGTGGAGACATCTGCCTTGTGGCTCACATCCTGAGAGGGAACCTGTAGCCATAGGATAGATGCTGCAGTAACACCTGCTGAATTAAATTAAAGCTCCACAGAGCATCTGGACCATGTCCCTCCTTCTCAGGTCACCTCTCAGAAAGCCATGTTCCCCATAGTCTCCTGAGAAGAACAAGCAGGGCCCCATGCAAGGACATGGAAGGGTCCGAGCACAGCTAGCTCCCCACCTGTCTGGGAGCATTCCATCACCCAGTGGGGGACCTTCACTGGCATAATCTCACAGGGAGTGTTGGCATTATTACACAGGACGAGCACCTGGGAGGAGGGCAATTGGCTCTGTCAGAGCTGAGAGGTGACGGGCTGGACTGCTCCAGCAGCTTCTGCAGAACCAAGAGCCCAGCCCTTGCCCCTTAGTCCCTGACTTTCCACTCCGCCCCTTCATCTTCACTCTTGTCAGCTCAGTGGGCACAGACCCTCCCTGCTTTGTGTCTCACAGCACATGTGAAGGGGGAACATGTCAATTATGTCTTTATCAAGAAACTGGAAGTTCTAAAGGGGTCTGTCAAACAAGCTGTTTGCGGTCGGCTGCTAACCTGAAAGCTGGTGGTTTAAACCCACCCAGCAGCTCTGTAGAAGAAAAGGCCTGGCAAACTGCTTCCGTGTAAGAGTCCCCTTTTGGGACAGTTCTCCTCTCTCTCACACATGAGTCTGGGGCAACTTGACGACAACTAACTAAAGTGCCAGGAGCTCTGGTAGCATAGTGCCTAAGGCACTTGACTGCTAACCAGAAGGCTGGTGGTTCAAACCCACCAGCCACTCCTCAGAAGGAAGGTTGGGCAATCTACTTCCATAGTGATACCGCCTCGGAAACCCAAGGAGGGGTCACTATGAGTCGGGGCCAACTCGAGGGCACATAACAACAACAACAACAACAAACTAAAATGCCACCACCTCTTCTGGGTGTAGGGGTGAGGAACAGCTGCAAATACCCATCAAACCAAAACCCACTGCTGTCAAGTCGATTCCAACTCACAATGACCCCTCCTTGGGTTTTCGAGGCAGATTCTCTACGAAGGTAGATTGCCCCGTCTTCCTTCTGAAGAGTGGCTGGTGAGTTTGAACCGCTAGCCTTCTGGTTAGCAGTCAAATGCCTTAGGCACCATGTCACCAGGGCAAATGACCGTAGGGGCACTGGATTCTCCACACTGAGAGGCACACTGTCCTGGAACAAAGTCCCCACTCTTTGAGGCTGGGGCATGTCTTCTCAAATTCCCCTCCCATCTGCCCCAGGAATGTCCACTACAGACCCCCCAGTAGAGCGGAAGTGTAGAGACCCTTCCTTGGGACATCACAGAAGAGAATTCCCAAGCCACCCAACTTCTCCTTTATCCGTGAGAAACTTGAGCCCCTCCTCTGGTTTTCCTCACGGTTTATCTTTCTGACTTTGGAGAAGGTTCTTCCCTAATTTGCACTGTTTCTGGTAACTGAACAAGCAGACCTACACCCCAGTTTCCCACAAACACTAGTCTCGTTAGTTGGCCCTTCCAGCTTGCTTCTCATTAGCAGAAATGCCAGTGACATCTGATTGTGAATGACAGTCCGTTCACCTGTTTGCTCCAGGAACAGCATGAGTGACACCACCTTGTTTCTTTTCTTTTCTTTTTGGCCCCTTCAGGAAAAAGTAGTGCTTAAATGTGATGTCTAAGATACAAAGACTTTTGTAATCTAAAGTGGACTTCATCGTGTGATCACCTGATCGTCATTGGAAAATGTCATGGTTTCAACATCTTGCTTCAATAAATTCCTTGCAGTGCAATTCTTCACTTGTCTTGTTTTTATCCAACAGTCTCTAGCCTTGAGTTCAGGGTGGTTTTAATCATGAAGTGGCCATTTGGTATTGGGTTTCAGGGACCAGGACGTAGATACCTTTTGGGGGCCTAGTCCTCAGCCTAATATAGTTCCTCTCCCGCCCCTTAATAGTCCACTCAGATCTGTCCCCTCCATTGACTGAGTCCCCTCTTCTCCATCCCCACAGCCATCACCACAGTCTAGACCTTACTCTTCCTGGTTCAGGCCAACACATGCACACAAACACACACACACATCCATATCACATCCCCTTTGTTATTCTTTACCTTTCTATGATGTGGTATGTATACCACAGAGTCATTATGAGAATCAGTTGAGAACATTAATACATTACACAGCACTGAAATATTGACCATCATCATTATGATGTCTTAAAGCTACTGAGGGTTTCCATTTATCAAGCACTTCCTTGTGCCAGGCATTATGCTGGAAGCACAGTCCTCACTAGTATCCCAAAAAGAAAGAGAATGTGACTCCCACATAACAAAGGGACGAGACATGCCCCAGCTCACTCGTCCTGCCTCTGTTTGGGAGCCGACCGGGAAGCTTTGGAAAGCAACCGAAGCCCCGGCTCCACTCTGGACGATGATATCGATGACATCAGGCAGCAAGTATAACTGAGGCAGTCCCCATGTCTTCATCTCCCGTATTTATCGGAGTAGCCACCCAGCCAACTGGGGAGGTGAGAGCTGGAAGACAGAGTTCCCCACGAGACTCAGAGAATGCCCGTCATCTCAAGGTGGTCACCTTGCGGTCCTTCCCTTTAGCACTTCTTTAATGCTCCAGTCTGGAGGTGCAGGCCCTGCATCAGCATCACTCTCGGAAGACTAGTGAGATTAGGATCTCAGTCAGCATGATTTTCCTTCAGGAGCTGCTATAAGAGGGTGTGAGGTGGGCTTGAGCAAGACCCCACAGACTGGGGCTTTCTGAGAGGCAGCAGGAGCAGACTGTAAAGAGGGGACCCTGGATAGCGGTGCGCACTGGCCTACTCTCCCGGAGCTGTCAGCACTCGGAATCAGTGCATCTCCACACGTCAAATCCCTCCTTGAGTCACCTCCTCCATTCTTTCTTATGAAGACTTGTTGAGTCATAGCAACTCATAGCGACCCTACCGGTCGTGAGCCAGCTCCATGATTCTTGCTACACTTGAGCCCATCGCCACAGCCCCCGTGTCAATCCATCTTGTTGAGGGCCTTTCCCTCTTTCATCGACCCTCCACTTACCAAGCATGACATCCTTCTCCAGGGATTGGTCTCGGCTCCAAGGAGCATTCCAGCTGCACTTCCTCCAGGACAGACCTGTTAGTTCTTTTAGCAGCCCACGGTACTTTCAGAATTCTTGACCAACACCACAGCCCAAAAGCATCAATTCTTCTTCGGTCTTCCTTATTCATTGTCCAGCTTATAATAATAATAATAATTATTATTATTATTATTAAAGATATCACTGAATTTTAAGAAATGCTGGTTCAAAATCATAAATTGAGCTCACCAAATACAAAGGACGAACTTGTGTAGACTCTTGATTTTGTCTCTCAAGCCCCCCTCATGACCATTGCATGCATCTGAGGCCTCGCTGGTTTCCACTGCCTGGACCAGCATTATTGGTCTCTGCCTTGGCTCTCCTCCTCAAATCTCTTCTCCCTACAATCCATCTTGCACCCTTTGATGAGGTCTGTGTTCTGAAAATAAAGCTCTGATTTTATCACAAGTGGTCGTTGGTAGACCTAAAGTGGTCCTTTTTTTTTTTTTTAAAGAAGTAAAGCTCAATGTCTCAATTAACAAATTAGAATATTCAGACCTGTATAAAAATAAAAACTTCACATTGATTCTTTTTGTACTTACACTGTTTCTCCCTCAGCTAATTAACCATTATTTCAGAGCCCTTCAGAGCTAGGGCACAGGAAAAAAACAGAGACAAAAGTCCAGAAAGTTCTTCACTGACCCACATTGTTTTGGGATTAGTTCAGCTTCTCTGGGCCTGGCAGGTGCTTTCTTTCATAGAGCTTTTTCAGGTGCCTTCAGAAAGCCCACATGACTAATCTATCATTTCTTTGGGAGCTCTGGTGGCATAGTGCCTAAGGCATTTGACTGCTAACCAGAAGGCTGGAGGTTTGAAAAAGCTTTCAAAGAGCAACAAAGAGCTATGGAAAAACTTTAAAAATATGATAAGTGGAGAAATTAATAGAAATGTTGGAAGATAAAATCAAAATAGAATGAAAAGTGCTATATGATACTGCCTTGGAAACCCATGGAGGGGTCGCTATGAGTCGGGTCCAACTTGACGGCACATAACAACAAACAACAACAACATGTGCAGAAAGGAAAGTCTAATGAAATGAAAAATATGAAGGAAAAGAAGGATCAATACAGGATGTCCAACTCATAGAATTTCAGAATGAGGAAGAAAGATAATGGTGAGAAGAAAATCAGCAAAGAACCAACACAAGAGAATTCCCCAGAGATGAAGAACACAAGATTGAAAAGGCAACCCCCCCCCAAAAAAAAAAAATCAGGGTGAAAAATTAGAACATGGTTGTAAAGAAAAGATCTTTTATCCAGAAAGAAATACTAATTCCCATCCAAGGATGGGAACTAAAAACTGGCATCAACCCAAGTAGCCAGAAGGCAAAGGAACAATGTTCAATATATTCAATAGAATATTCAGCCTGTAATTCTACATGGATACAGCTCTCGATGGAGATAAGTATCACTCACACATGAAGGTAAAATAAAGATATTTTCAGATATGGAAATCTTCACCAGTTTTATCTCTGATGAACCTTTTCTAAGAAAACTACTGGAGGATATCCTCCACCAAAAAGAGTGAGTAGAAGAAGAAAGAGAAAGACATGGAATACAATAGGATATTTAACATATGTGTTAATGTTGTTGTTATGTGCTGTCGAGTCGGACCCGACACATAGCGACCCCTCCTTGGGTTTCCGAGGCAGTATCACTACAGAAGTAGATTGCCCCATCTTCCTTCCGAGGAGTGGCTGGTGGGTTTAAACCACCAGCCTTCTGGTTAGCAGTCAAGCACCTTAGGCACTATGCTACCAGAGCGTTAATAGAGGTCTGAAATTGATGTATCAATAAAGAACAATATTTTTATTTAAAACCACATAAGCTGAACAACTCTTTATTGTATGGGGCTGTCCTGTGCGTTGTAGGATGTTTAGCAGTATCACTGTATTCTACGTTGATATTAAATAGCAACTCCCACATCCAGTAGTGAAAAACAAAAATAAATACCAAACTAAACCAAACCCACTGCCATCAAATTGATTCCAACTCATAGCGACTCCACTGGGTTTCCAAGGCTGTAAATGTTTACAGAAGTAGATTGCTTCATCTTCCTCTTGTGGAGCAGCTGGTGGATTTGAACCACCAACCTTCTGGTTAGTAGCCACATGCCTTACCCACTACTCCACCAGAGCCCCTTAAAACAAATAATGCTCCCAGGGGTTGTTGTTAGTTGTTGTCAGGTCAATGCTGACTCACGCCAACCCCATGAATGCAGAATAAAACTGCTCTGTAGGGTGTCCATGGCTGTGACCTTGTGGAATCAGATCACCAGGACAGACTGCTGAGGCACCTCTGGGCATGTGCCAACCACCAGAATTTCAGCTAGTAGTCAGGTGCTTAAGTATTTGTATCACACAGGGGTGGTGGTGTTGTTGGGTGCAGTCAAGTTGACTACAACTCATAGTGACAGGTAGTTAAGGTTATGTGTCAACTTGGCTGGGCCTGGATGAGTGGCTGGGCAGCTGGATGTAGTATTCCCCATGATGAGACTGGTAATCAACTCCACGGTGGAATCTGCTATGAGTAGCTGAGTAGCTGCCTTAGGGATGTGTCTGCTTCCAGTACATAAGGAGAAGCTTTGAGAAAGGGATCAGCTTTTTGGCATGCTTGGACCCTACACATAGCTGAGTCTTCATTCAGCAGCCTGCCATGTCGTCTGTTGATCATGGAACTGTTTCTGGACTTGAACTAGTGTCCTTTGGTGTTGCTTGATAATCCTGGGACTGTGCCATTTTACTTGTCAACCTCTGGTTTATCAGCCTCAGCAGCCAGCAGCTGTCTGAGTTAAGAGATGCCTCCAGTTTCAGTTGGCTGGGAGCAAGAGGCAGAGCTGAAGCCCAAGGTCAAGGAGCCTTCACCCAGTCCCTAGAGCTGGCACTTTGAACTTGGACTTCTAGCCTCCTACTAAGAGATTAAACTCCTGTTTATTAAAGTCATCCAGTTGTGTTATTTTCTGTTAGAGCAGCACTACAGGACCAAAACAGTGACCTTACATACAACAGAATGAAACATGGCCCAGTCCTGTACCATGCTCACAATCCTTGCTATGCTGGAGCCCATCCATTGTAGCAGCCACTGTGTCAATCCATCTCACTGAGGGTCTTCCCCTCTTTCACTAACCCTGCACTTTACCAAGCATGATATCCTTCCCTAGGGCCTAGTCCCTTCTGACAATATCACCAAAGTACATGAGATGAAGTCTGGCCATTCTCGCTTGTAAGGAGAATTCCAGTTGTCTTTCTTCCAAGATAGATTTGTTTATCCTTATGATAGTCCATGCTATTTTCAGTATTCTTCACCACCACAATTCAAATGCATCAATTCTTCTTCGGTATTGCTCATTCATTGAACGACTTTCCCACGAATAGGAGTTTATTGAAAATACCACTGCTTGAGTCAGGTACACCTTAGTTTTCAAGGTCTTTGCTTTTTAACACTTTTAAGAGGTCTTTTGCAACA